AAATATTGTTGGTGGCAGCTTGTGATTTTAAAATCGTCAAGCAGCTAAGTTCCCAGATAAATCATTTTAACACACACCATATATGATGAGAAAAATGAACCTAAAGTTAAATAACATTTGCAGCACGCTCTAAACTTATATTTCCTCGTATCACTACTTTCGATTTTATACCCATGGGGTTCTATATAAAAAAAACGGCAATCAATTGCTTTACCACTGCAATTTATATAGGTCTCATTTAGTATTCCTAGTGAAAGTTTTTGCGTTTTAAAATTGCTTTTGACCCAATTTTAATATAAATAATAAAAAAATGACTTTTCAATTTAAAAACCTGATTTATAGATCCAAATTAAATACTCTTTAAGCGATGTTTTTGAGGTGAAAATATTTGTTTGGGGATAGAAAATCATTATATTGTCATTATATTTTTTAAAAGTCTATTATTCTATGCCTATATTTTTCCCAGATTTGATGTACAATATGATAAACATTCAAATTATTTATAGTGCTTAGCAAAACCAAAGAAATGTTTAGCTCCTATGATTTAGGATTTTAACCTGTTCATAGCAAAATCAGAGGATATATTTCAATTGTTAAGTTCAATGATAAATCAGATAATGAAAATGATTTGTAGTTTAGCCAAACCAAAGAATAGTTTAGCAGCTATAATTTAGGATAAAAAATAATCTAATCAAAGTTCTTCCTTCCGTAGTGAAAATGAGTAAAAAAAAAAAAGTCATCTCCATAGAAGATCACAAGAATTTTGTGATATTTTAATGATGTTTGAACTGAACTCAATCTGCATATGAGATTCTGAAATTTTTAATTGTTTTTGTGTGGATTTCACTTGATGGGTGAAAAGAAAATTGCAAAGTGAAGTTTCTCAAGACTAGTTGGCAGCTACCAGTTAGTCAAACTCATGGTTGTTTAATTTGTTAATGAGATGAGGGAAAGTTATCCTTTTTTTTTTTTCCTAAATGTAATTATAACTTAGCCAATTAATGGATGAAAACAAGTTTCTGGTATGTTTCATGATCATAGCTATTTAGCTAAATAATTTGTTACTGATATTATTCTAATTGTTCAAATATATAACCACTGTGGCCGGTGAATTATGAACATTGAATGTGCTGAGGACTGTTTGCTACATAATGCAGCAAAAGAATAATAAGAATCACATGCTGATATATGCATGACTGTTAGATATGGTAGAGGTTCCTTAAACCAACCAGTCCAAAACATGAAACTTAGTCGCCGGTTCCCAATGGCCATGTTTGTCAACCATTGAATTGGGATCAATTGGTTGAATACAAAAGTGAAAGAGAAAAATCCAGTTTACAGCTTAAGGAAGATAGAATTTTCCAAATTACACTCAAACTTGATATATTTTTCAAAATTTTTTAATCCAGGGTGTCTATATATAGTTGTTACTATATGTGACAGCAAATTATCCTGCTTTAGAGAATTTGACAAAAAAGAATTCTGCAACATCCTACAAAGATGCCCTTTTATTTTTCCATTCAGGTAGGTGAATTCAGTTGGGGGAGGTTGCAGTAGCTATTTATTGGTAAACACCAGATTCATCATTTAATTTTTACTTGCTGAGTGAGCTTCCCGGATTATTTTTTTTTTCTTTAAGAATTTTATATTTCTATAGGGTTTTCATTAATAAATAGCTTCACTTGCAGCCTTTTCCCTTAGCTTCTACGTCAGGGGTCAAATATAAGAAAGTTTACAGCACATAATTTTTCACCTCCTTGGCATTGCATTATTGCATGTTTGTATTTCATTTTGGTTTTGCAGCATTTCCTCTATTTCATTCTCCATTATGTACGCCTATTGATTCTCCTCCTTCCGCTATTGATTCCCCATTGATCATGACCCATTTTAGTGGGAATTCAGATTTTTTTTTAAGGTATCTACATGTGATATAAATAAATATATATAATAAAAACCACTAACAAATTTATTAATTTTATCCAAAAAATATATTAAAAAATTTTAAGGATGTCTAAAAAATAATTTTTCTTTAAAATTTTTTATTTTTCAATTTTTGAGATGTCACAGACATCCTAATTCCCCGTTTATACCTGCCACTGACACAGCGCATGCATATTCGCCACATTTTGTCACTAACAATGTAATATGAAAAAGGTGTTGTGACCATTGCTGGTGGTTGTGATCTAATACTTTTTTTTTTGTCAACAAGAAAACTAATACTTATTTTTTAAAATTTGATAGCTAGCTAGCCAAGAAATTGACCATCCGAAGTGTAATTTTGAATCTAGGAAGTAGGAACCTCCATATGTTCATGGCTTCAATATAATCAATTTCATGTATTTGAGCTGCTGTCTCCATTAACTAATTATAATTTGTAAGGCAAATGATAAAGAATTCGAAGATATTATGGTTTAAATAATTCAAATTACACATATTAAATCATTATTTTAAAGTTTGTATTCTTTATAGCAAAACTTTTTTTATATTTGAAATTGCAATGATTTACACTCTGATCGCTAGAATTTTATCAAAATGATATTTATAAACATATTTGTATACTTAGGTTATGTTCGGTACATAAAATAATAGATAAAATAGTATTAATTATTTTATATTATATTTAATTTATATATTATTAAAAGGAATAAGATTACAAGGACAATTATATTATTTTCTTCGTATAAGATGATTCAATCCTCCTAAATTAGAGAAAATTATTTTTAATTTATGAAATTAAACTTATATGTCTTATTATATCCTCAAAAATTATATTAATAATTTAAATAATATAAACTTTGAGGAAAGATAATTTTGACTAATAAATAAATTATTTTATCTTAATCTTTACATACATCAAATATAAGATAAAATGACATTATTTAATCCAATCATATTCATAATATCATTTCATCCTATCTTATTATAATATGATGTACCAAATATGACCTTAATATATTATCTATGTTTAAATTTGTTGAGAATAATACATTAAATGGAAAAAAAAAGCTTTTTAAAATAGAATTTTAACTAATCTTAACAAATATGTATAAAAACAAATTAAAAGCTGGTAGCTATAGTTAGTATTTAGTTCACTTAATTCGCTAGAAGAAAATTGTTAATTCTATGATACAGCAACTAATCGGGGCCAATGGTGCATTAATGAAAATTATTAGCAAATGCTTCACATCTGCAATAAGCTTACAGCAATCTCTTTCTGCATGATACGAGTGCATGTTAACTAAAGCCTCAGAACTGTCAGTTTCAAGCTAGTTTTCGTAAGCACATGTTAACTCATAAGTATAACTGGCTTCCATACAAAATTACAACTAACGCAATTAAAATTTCTCAAATTTTTCATTTATGGTTGTTTAATATAGAACCTTTTTTGTTTTTTCAACTTTATCTCATTATGATTCATTTATTAAGAAAAACACTACAAGTGAGTAAATTAAAATCACATTAAGTGGCCAATGAGGTTCTATTTCAGAAAAAACTTCTAGAATTTTGAGTTCAGGTTTAAGTTCTGCAATGTGTGAGTTTATCCAATTTTATGTTGTATTTGTCTAACTGGTTCATTAGTTCATTTGTTTGTTTCATTTAGTTCAATTATTTCTCATGTGAAGGTTTTATTTAATTATTATTATTATTATTTACTTCATAAAAATGTTCAATCGAGAGTACAAACTGAAATGATAAAGTAATATTGTTCCATATAAATAGTATATTTGTTGTGCAACTCAACTAACTGCAAAAAGGATTTGACTTAGTGATTGGTGCATGATGTGTATATATATATGTGTGTGTGTGTGTGTTTATTTATTCTTTTTGGTGCATTAACTTAGAATCTCTTATCAAACCACAATCTTTCTAACCCTTTGGTCAAGTCTGATTCATTCCGGCATGTTTCATGTCAAAGGCGATTGTTAATTAACATGAAAATGCCCTTGGTCATGAGAATGAAGTTTCATCCAGTAGGAAAATGAATAGGTACAATGTATATCCGGGACAACTTAATGGTATAGGAAACATGAAATGTCTTCCCCATGACAGTGAAGTTTCATCCCTGGAAAGCTACTGCTTGCACTTCTGGAAAGCTATTGGGGATATGACTTGATGGTAACTTGGTCAATGAAATATATTATTTCCAAGAAAAAGTTTTAAGTTTTTGCGTGAAATGAAATGGTTATGAAAGGTTTCAAAAGAAGGGTACTACGAAAATTTTCCTCAAAGGATATCCAACATTTAAACTTTTATATTTCAAATTGAAAGTTTCGAATTTAAATCTGTTGAAAGGAAAGTGGATCTAATCATATATAGGATGGGAACGGATTGTTTTCCATTATATATAATTTATATATAAAACACAAAAAAATTAAACTAGGAGATTAATCATGGTTCACCTTGAGTTAAACTCCAATCAATATAATTGATAGAATCAACAATTCATCAACAAAAAGAACTAATCTAGCCCTTTTAGCTGTGAATCATTAGTAATATGTGGATCATGCATTCTCCTTCTCAAGCAAAAGTTAACCTTTGTGGATTATTAAGAGAGAAAGACTTAAAGAAAGTTTATTAGGTGAAAGTTCCTTAAATGTTTTTATTAAAAACGATTAAATAAAAATTAAAATAAAAAATTAAAACCGATAAATTATAAGGTCTCTTGTTATATAGATCAAGTGTAGAAATTTTGAAAAATAATTAGTAAATTTTGATATATTTTTTAGATAGATATTTTTAGTAAAAAATTTGATAAATTGAATATGCATCTATTAACTTTGAATTATAAACCACATTGTTAATTTTTTTTAAAATATTATTGATTTTTATACTAAACTCTATCAATCTATGGGTTTGAATTGTTTATAAAAATTTTTATTAAATCATTTTTAAAAAATATGGATCATGGAGGAAAGAATTGGATATATGATCCCAATGACAAAAATGAATAAATGAAAATCATAATTTTGCGTAGGTGAGGAAAGAGACACATACTTAACGGTAAATAGCTTCAGCATACAAAGCAAAAACCTTATCCTCTTGCACTATTGCACATTCATGCCTAGTACACTGACTCACCTAAACTCCCAAAACCACCAGTCCAAGTCAACCCCCAATCCAAATCCTCTTCTATATCTATGCCCCCCTTGTGTTTTCTGGTTACTTTCTACCTCTGTTTTTTGCAGTTTCTGATTTCATTTCTTGGGAGTTTTTGGATAGAAAGAGAGAGAAGGAGAATGAGGAAACCTTGCTGTGACAAACATGGCACCAACAAGGGCGCATGGTCCAAGCAAGAAGATCAAAAGCTCATTGATTATATACGTATTCATGGTGAAGGCTGTTGGCGTTCCCTCCCCAAGGCTGCAGGTTTTTGGCTTTATATAAGAAAACCAACTTCATTTTTTTCAAAGTCCCATTGTAAATTTTATACTAACTTCATCCATGTTAATCATCAGGTTTGCACCGTTGTGGCAAAAGCTGCAGGCTAAGATGGATAAATTACTTAAGACCGGATATCAAACGCGGTAACTTTGCTCAAGATGAAGAGGACTTAATAATCAAGCTCCATGCCCTCCTTGGTAACCGGTATATTATAAATTTAGATTTACAACACTTATTTTACGCGTATACTAATGTACATATAGACATACTATGATATAAATGCATTTGCGTGGGTGCATATATAGTACAACTTGCTAAAATTAATGTTTTTTTGGTTTATTGGCTGTTAGGTGGTCATTGATAGCTGGTAGATTGCCAGGAAGAACGGATAATGAGGTGAAGAACTATTGGAATTCTCATATAAAGAGAAAGCTAATCGAAATGGGAATTGATCCTAATAACCATAAGTTGAACCAATATCCTATTCGTCCTCATCCTCAGCCTGTTATTCCCCCTAATCCCACCTCCTTGAATGTGACATGTAAGCTTAGAGGGTCTTCGGTCGATAATGATAGGATCTCAGATGCGGCAAGTTGTCTTGAAGATGAAAAATTCGGTGTCTCTAACTTGGATCTAGATCTTACAATAGCATTTCCTTCTGCTCCAATCAAGGTTATAATTGAAGAGAAGCAGCAGACTAGAGCATCGATAGTAACAAGGGATCAAGAAGAAAATCACACTGCTCCTACCCTTCCTCTTTTTAGATGAGAAAAGAAAGAGCCTGGTACATATGCAGATTCTTGACCTTGGGGAGCTAGTAGACAAGTAAAAGGCCAAATTAAGAAGGAAGCATGTATATCAATTACCTTCGGATTAAATGAAGGATGATGGATAGAACCATATCTATGTCATTGTTTGTGCAATTGGAGAAGAAAATTAGCTGAACAGATCTCTCTGAACAAAGGGTTGAAGCCTCTAGAATTCCAGATGTAATCTATTGAATTGTATTATTGTATATAATTTGGTAGAAAAAAAAACAAAGACTTCAACTTAAGGAGGATGACAACAAATATTAACTGAGAAGATAGAAATGCAGAAATTGAAGATCAGTTCATTGAAAAGGATGCCTAGCTAGGAAATGGAGCTTTTAAATCAACTTATTTTCAATAGGTCAACATAATGTAGGATGAGGGCATGGCTTTGATTCTTGTGTTATGTATTTGTAGTTATGAATGATATGATCATAAAGCTAATGACCTAATGGCATCGAGACTTTCAACTTATTGTACAATTTTTCTGTTATATGTTACATCAACGATTAAAAGGTTTAACGATGGGCAAAGGAACTGAACCTGGCATTTCATAATTTTTTTTATTTGAAATTATTAGGCCACTAGACATGCAGATTTTGACAAAAATTAGTACACTGAGAGGTTATTTTTCGTACCAATCTTGATATCATATAGTACTAACTGGTTTCGTGAGTCTAAAGTGATTTCAATCACGTGATTTTGACAAATTCAATTGTTTCAGTGGTACGTAATTGTTAAAAATATTTTAGTGTTGAAACATTAATCGGATATGAAACAATCCATGATTTGGTGAATAAAAAGAAAATAAGAAACGGAAAAAAAAGAAAAAATAATTCAAAATTAAAAAGAAAATAAATTTCGTTGGGCTTTATTATGTAGTTTAATATTAAATTTTATATATTTATAGTTGATAGGATAATAAACAAACAATTAAATAAATAATTAAGTAAATACATTATCAATTTTAACCATAATTATTATTTGTTATAAAAGTAATTTTATTAATTTTATGCTTATTATTATCAATGTTAAATGTTTTATATATTTATTTGCATAATAATAATAATAATAATAATAATAATAAGTATTTTTAATTAAATAAGAAAATTTGAAATAATATGTCAAAATATCAAATATCAATAAATCTCTTTGTAAATAAAAAATTGAAACATTTTTTCGTATGAAATTTACAACTTTAATTTAAAATTTGATTGTTAAAATTAAAATTTTAATACTTTATTATTAATCCACGTAACTATTTAAAAAATATCTATCGTATATTTGTCTGCATAAATATTGATCTCTTCAACTCTAATCAGCCAATAAAGTGTGTTGAAAAGCTAACTTAGCTAGTAAAATGTTTTAATGTTGCGTCAAGAATTTAAAACCAGATCATTGACTATATAAAATAGAGATCTATTTAAGGGATTATGGCACATACGGTTATTGATTGAGAATTATTTCATATGGTTACGCATGTAATGTCAAAAAATAAAATATTATTGATGAAGTTTTTCAACAGTAATATTTAATTTTTTGTTGGTAATAATGTTATCGATGGATTTATTGATGAAATTTTTTATTGATAAATTACAGAAAATTTTGTCAGTAAAAATTTATTTTTTATCAATAAGTTATTTTGATTTTTTTCAAAATTAATTAAAAAATTTTCAAAAAAAATTCGTCGATAATAATTAAAATTTTATTAGTAATATTTACTATTTTTGTCTGTAATATTTATTTGTCAATTATATTTAACTATTATTTATAATTTTTATCATTTTATTATATTTTTAAAATTTGTTTTAAAGTAATGATATGAATATTAAAATATACCTAAATAAAAAAAATAAATAAAACATTCCATTTCATTTATAAAAAAAATAAGGGATAATGTTCCTTTGGCTCCAAATTATTGCTTTTTTCTAATGTGCCTAAATAAAAAAAATTTTAATTTAATACTTAAACTACATTTTCATATATTAAATTGTCCTAATCTTTAACACTGTTAATTAAAAATACTGACGTGACATGAATATTTAATAAAATACTAACACATGTTAATAAAATCCAATCAAATGCCACAACACCAATGTCATGTTAGCATAAAAAGAAAAATTTTTTAAGTATTCAAAAATAATTTTAAAAATTTTTTAAAAATTCTAATTTTTTTAATTCTAAAAAATTTTGAAAATTATAAAAAAATAAAAAATATTTAAAGATATCTAACAAATTCTTTAAAAATTTTAAAATTCTAAAAAATTTGAAAAATTCTAAAAAATTCTAAAAAGTTCTAAAAAATTCTAAAAAAAATTCTAAAACACTTCCACTTGTTAGAAGCCAAACCTTCAAACTTGCACTAGTTCATCTCTTCTTCAAATCCAACCAAGTATATCATTATAACTAATCCAGACCCTCAGTAGCTTACCGTTGTCAACACCATCACTAGCTTTCATTCTTTCAAATTGAACCCAAAATCCCAAATCCTAAATCTTTCCAAAAATCGAACTAAAATTCCATAGAAAAACCTTGTGAAGACTTCTTGCAATATTATTTTCTTCTTCAATTTTCATGTTTATTTATTTGTATGCCAATTTTCGCTCTTTGTTCTTTGCTGATGAGTTCTCGATTTTGTCGTTTGTTGATGAATTTGTTGCTCTTTGGATTATGGGTTTCGATTTTGGGTATGGGTTTGGTGGGTTTTTGTTTGGATTCTGTGTTTTGTAGTGTATGGCCGTTGGGTCTGATATGCGTTGTTTGGATTTTGGGTTTGGATTGACTTCTAGTTAACTGCTTTTTAATGGGTGGATCATAGAATTGTTGTGTTTCTTAATTGCTGGCTTCTTGTTGTGGATTATCTCTGTGCTAAATTCTTGTTTCTTGTTGATTTACCAAAACCTTTATGAAAACCTTTGCTACCAAAATCTTTGCCTTGTATTCTTATTGAGAATTACTTATTTTGGATGCTATAACTCAAATTCTGGGCTTGCTTTGTTTTCACCCCCATTGATCTTGATTGCGTATAATTTTTACTTTGTATTAATGTCGATTACTCACTACCTTCTTTTTGAATTGATCATCGGTTATAAGTTTCTGAAGGTGGTCTAATTATGGATTTTGACTTTGACTAGAGATTCAATTTGCATGCCAAACTAAATCTCTGTTTAGGACCACCTGAGGCTGGTGTCACGGCCTCACTTACTTCCATGTTCGACCCCTTTCATGTGCTTTCAAGACTTTGCCAAAAATTTTTGCCTTTCAATAGCCTTTGTGTGATCTTGATTTGCTGCTGTCTAGCCTCCTTATATCTTTCAATTTGCTGATCAATGTTTAATTGAGGCTAAATTATTATGCCAAATTACTTTCATAATTTAAAAAAAAAAGTTTTAAAATTTTTTTAGAATTTTTTAATTTTTATTTTAATTTTAAAAAAAATTTTAAAATTGATGATATGGCGTTAATTGAATTTTTTGACATATATCAGCATCTTATTAATATTCATGCTATATCAGTATTTTTTATTAACGGTATTAAAGGTTGGGGTAATTAAATACATGAAAATATAATTTAAGTATCAAATTAAAAAAAAAAATTTTGCTTAGGTATTACATTAGAAAAAATGCAATGATACAATAATTCATAGGCCAAATGGGACATTATCCCAAAATATAATAATATTTAATAAAATTATTTATAAATTCTAATTACATGAAAATACAAAACATTTGATAATAAATAAATTAATATACAATAGTATTAGTTTTAAGTTCACGTGTCTGAGGCATATAGGAAGTAGTTATTTCTACCCTTTATAACATCACCACAATGTCATGCAATTCCCACTACCAAAATCTCATCACAAGCAAGCTCGTTCCTCCTAAACAAAAGAAATAAAAAAAAAAAAAAATGAGATTAAGAATCCAACAATAGCATGACTAAATGACACTAAATCCATCAATAACACCATGCTACAAAGTATAAGGCAGAAAAGGTCCATTAGCTTACTAACAAATTCATAAACTGATGCTATCATAAATCTCTTTAATACCGGTGAATTTTTATCGATGAAATTTTTTTATCAATAATTTACAAATAAAATTTTGATAATAAATCAATGAAAATTAAAAAAATAAAATAAAATTTTTTTATCGACTAAAAATAATCCATTAATATTTTATAGGTGAAGTTGGCGTCGAAAAATGGAAATTTGGCATTGGATTTTTTGACGAAAAATATCCGTAAGTAACTTGTTGCTAAAAAGTTTACTGAGGATTTTTTTCTATCAATAAAAAAATTTTAGTTAAAAATAAAAATAATTTTTTTGGAATTAAATTGGGATGAAAAATTTTTTTTAATTGCCGATTGATTCCTTCGATAATTTGTCGATAAAACTTAAAAATTTTAATTACCAATGAAAATTCTGCTGGTAATCCCTCACTAAATCCAATAAACGTAAAAATCCCCTTCTCCCTTTCTTTTCTTCCTTGACTCTGAAACCCTTAGCTTTTCTCTTTCCTTTCTTCTCTCTTTCGGCCTCCTTCTCTTCTTCGCCATTGGTGCCATAGGTCAATATGAGCATTGCTATACTTCCAATGTTAGCTAAATTCAATTGGAACCCAGCAACTATTGGTTTAATACAGTCATTTTTTTCTCGAGTTATCTCCTCAGTCAGGTAATAAATTCTTTCTTCTTTTTTTTCTTCTCTTTTTTTTTAATGGTTTAGTTATAAGATGAAATCTTGGTTTTTGTTAATCTAAAGTAGACATTTTTTGTGGGTTTTATCACTAATAAAGTTGTAGGGAATGACAGATTACTAGTGGAATATGGGCAAACACTGTAGGTGGCAAGACAATGTTAGGATTTTAGGTAGTTTGGCGGTCCATTACTACAATTCTTACTCCTTTTGCTACTAAACTTGGGTTGCCATTTCTCTTTATCGTTCATGCTTTCATGTGAATTGGTAAGGCTAGTTCCTTAATCATTATTATTCTATTAAAAATTGATTAATTAATCAACTTTATAGATGTAAGAATAGTTTGAAATTTTTCTTAGAAATCTATAATTTTTGTATTGTACAAATAAGACCAAGGTATTGATTTAATTTTATTTTGTTTTCAAGGTATTGCTATGCCTACCATGAATAATATACTGTCAAAATGGATTCCTGTTGCAACCATAGCATTCAAAATGCTTAATAATCATCCTAAATGTGGAAGAGTTAATAGAAACCTTTGATATTAAGTTCCTAGTAAATTATTAAAGAGGAGTGTCTTACACTATCCCTTTTTGACTCATTAGTTGGCTAAGAATCTACCATATAAGTTCTGGTTTTATTATTTCTTAATTTGGATGATTCCAAGACATTTCCTCAAATTGTTGAAATTTACTAACTTTGTGCCTTGACTACATTGTGGCTTGTTGTTGACCTCGTTTCACAAAACAATTTTTCTTTTTTCTATTCCCATGTTTTGAAACCTAAACTAAAGCACTCACAACATTATTTTCTGAAGCTCTTTCTAACAATTATTAAAGTATAAATGTTTCTCCTTCCCATTATGTAATTAAGAAATTATTTTGTTATACATCTATAAGTCC